TCCTCTCAAACGTCGTTACATTCATGTTTAGTGTGAGGGATTGCTGAATCACTGTGGAGCTGCTCTGAAGGACAATTTCCATCCAAAGCTGTCTTCACTAAAAACTCCTGTGGTCCATGGGCCAATCAGAAGGTTATTATTCATAAGAAGTGATGAAGCCACAGAAAAGCAGGAGCAGGTATTAAACGAAGCAATGAAGTCTGGGAAACTTACGGCGTGCTTCCTGACTGCTGCTTCACCGCCATGCAGTCATAGAAGGTGAAATCTCTCTCTGCCACCGTGACGTCCCCGAAGCGAACAGACAAGGCCAGGGTGACAAAATCTGAAGAAAGAACACAGACTGAGCATCTGATGATGATGATGATGAGCATCATCATCCCTTCATTCTTCTTTACATGATGAACATGAGACCAAAACTATGGAAGAAAAACAGTCTCATTGGAATCTGCCTTTTTTTGTAGATGGCTTTTTAAACACTGAAATTTTTTTGGACATTAAATTCCTTACCATGAATTTATATATGGTGAAAATTCAGCAGCAAAAAATTAACCTGCAAAAAAGTCGCCTGCAAATGTGTTGACCTTTTGGTGAACTTAAGCTTCAGCAATCTACACTCGATGCAGAGAAGCAGCTTTTAGCCAATGAAATTAGCTCATCTGCAGCCGGCCGCTTCTTCCGGGTCAAACCAAGAGCCTGGGCAGACGGGGGTGCCGCACTAGCTGCGATCGGCTCAGTTATTAGTCATTAGATGAAAAACTCTAATGGCTGTCTATTAGTAGCTACCTGTAGTTTTGTAATCATATCTATTTAACAAGAAAAACTCCTCATTCAGCTTCGTTTAGTTTAGGAACAAAGTTACGCCCAACTGTTGGGTCACATGACCAAAGGAGCTCATTTCATTGGCTAGAAGCTGCTCGGCTGCATGGAGCGTAGATTGCTTTGGCTTCAGTTCACCAAAACGTCAAAACATTTGCATATGAATTTTTTTGCAGCTAAATTTTTTGGAGAAAAATGTTATTTTTACTGGATAAAAAATCAGTGTAAGGAATTCAATGTTTAAAAAAAATTTAAGTTTTTAAATTATAGCCTAGATAAAAAAAGTAGATTTCATTGAGACTGTTTTTCTTCCGTACATAACAAATAAATCTCAGCTGAAACAGACGGAAACATTTTTTTAGATCCAGACATGAACCATGAAGAGACAATAGATGGAAGCAGGTATGGGCCATAGATCTATGGTTTTATCTCCGGTTAATTAAAAACCGTCAGACGAGGCGTTGCTGCCATGACTCCACTAGCAGAGCCGCTGCTGCTAATGATGGGCTACCTGCTGCAGTGACATCAGATCAAACGGGACCGTCTGATTGGACAGCTTTAAAACTAGAACCGGATCAGGTCGTCTCGTTCCTGAAATGAAACCTGCCGTAATATTTACGTTTTTTGTTTTTTTTTAAGTAAACTGAGGAAAATGTTTGTTCTGAACCTGTTGATGCAGAATCACCTCCAAAGTTTTGCTTAATGCATCATGTGAGCGTCTCTCTGTTTTTTTCCGTCTCTAATGGGACACTAACGGAAATGAAAGCTCCAGTGGATGGATCCAGTATTAAAGCTGGTTGGAAACTGGAATGCATTCGATTAGATTAGAGCTGCGTGCGTGCAAACGTCCGCTGATCCAAACACAGCATAAAGGTTAATCCCAACCCAGCTGGCCTCCAAATCCCTCCGTCACAAAAGCAAAAAGCTCATAGCAGTAATTAAAATCCCTCAGACAGTTCCCCCCCCCCCACCGGACCCACCCTGTCCAGGAGGCACCGAAGGAATTCTGCTGGAGTCTGGAGACTGGCATGCAACTCCAGCCTGGGTGATGGTGGCAGGGCTGGAGCTGGACTGGAAGGAGCAGGAGTAGGACTCGCCTCTGTCCAACAGGGGGAGTCCTGGGATGGACAGGGACACCTGCAGAGAGAGAAACGTCTCTGTCCACATTCAAATCACAACCAAATGTCTGGGAAAACAAAGGATAGCACCTGGGTTTCACTAAGCAAACCGTCAGCAGCCTCTCTGTGGGAAAAGCTTCCCCTGCTGCAGCTGCAGTTAGTGGGGAAGGACCAACACCAAGGGGAAAGCAGGAAGATGGTGGTGGACGGCGATGGAGCGCCTCTAATGAGCCTTCCTAGACCTCAGAGTGTTTTCTTAAAGCAAGTCCCTGTAGGGAAGACGTCTGCAGGTCTTACCGTCCTGCTCTCCTCCCTGCTGATGTTGAAGGGGTTCAGGTCCTGGACGCTCAGACACTGCTGCTCCATGTCGAAGCTCCACAGCCACTGGCCTGGTCGGCTTCCACGGCTGCACTCTGATTTCAGGACACACCTGAAGGACGAGAGGCAAACCAGGCGTTGGATGTCTGCACCGTTTAACCCGCCTCAGCAAACGCCACCAGGGGGAAAACTGGACAGCGGTCCGGAAGTGTTCAGGACGTAACTGAAAACCGCTCTGATGCTTCCAAACTTGATCCTTTATAGATCTGTATTGCTAGTTTGACTTTTTAATCATCAAAAATAAAATATTTCTCTGATAAAAACACATTCAGTCTAATAAAAGTCCTAATAAAGCTTTCCTATGACTCAGGGTGAATCGTTTTAAACACATAAGTGGCGCTGCAGCCGATGGAAGGTGCCCTGCTGCTTCGCCATCTTTGATTACGGAGGCTGCAAAGGGACAAACAGGGACTGAGTGGGTTGGAATAGAGCACTTGTAAGTATCCGGTTCGATCCCCATAGCCTGCACTCTGGGTCCCTGAGCATGACCCTTAACCCCACATTGTACCCCGGGCGCCGCACAATGACAGCCCACTGCTCCCATAGGGGATGGATTAAATGCAGAGTAAATTTCTCCAATGTGAGATCAATTAAGTTCAAAAAAAGTTTTACCCATTTATGAAGCCATGTTTTCAGTGGAGTCATATCGTTTCCCAGCAGGAGGGAAGGGAGAAAACCAGGAGAGAAGAGGGGGCGGGGCTTAAAAATATTTTTTGGTAAAAACTATAAAATGTCTCTTAAAGTTACAAAAAAATCCAAATGTTTGGCAGGTTTAAAAATGCCCTTAGATGGAACAGAGTCTCGATTCGTGGAAATGTTTTGAGATGTTTTCGCCCTGCGGACCGACTGACTTTGATCTGCCTTAAAATCTCTAAACTTTACGGGCGTCAAAGAGAAAATAATCCAGAGGAACGGATCAGTCCGGCTGAATGGAAGCCCACCAATAAAATCAGCAGTGAGCTTTTTAAGGTGGCCTGGCCGGTTGTGCTGCTGATCTCACCTTCCCTCCAGGATGCACCAGCCGCAGTAGGGGTCATGGGCCAGCAGGCAGGAGTGGCAGTCTGGGTGCTGCTGGCATTCAGCCACGGGCCTCTTCTGCAGCTGCAGCCGGGACAAAAACAATCACGTTCAGTAGTGCAAATCATCCCGCTAAGCTGGCAGAAATCTGATTACAAACAATAGATGGCCCACATTCCCAGAGCAACAAGGACAGAACCGGAATAATATCAGAAATAATCCCAGCAGCATTACTGGGAGAACTGGAGCAGAAACCAGAGTCATTTCCTTCTTTAACACGGTGGGGTGCAGGCATGCAGCATGAACCGCTTCTGTACCATGTTAGGGGTCATGATGAACAGATGCTCCTCCTCCTGGTCCAGAAGGAGGTCTGAGCTGATGGGTGTGTTCCTCTGGATGGAGATCACAGAGTATTCCTCCACCTCGCCATCCGGACCCAGGAAAACCTGAGGAGAAGATGCAGCAGAGCTTTAATGAGCCGTCTCTGAGGTTCATGCATCCTCAGCAGGCGGCGTCAGCCAGCCTCAGGCCTGCAGCCCAGTCTGATGACCTCTGAACTCCATCCTGCTTCCTCAGCTTCTTTAATCACCTTCTGGACACTTTTACCTTCTTTAATGGTCAAACGGAAGCAGACGTCTGTATCAGGCTGTTTTCAAGCAAGTGTATAAACGGGTCACCGCTGCCGTGTAGGGCGGAAAGAATCCCAGCAGGTCGCAGCTGAGCGTCTGACGTAGAAATAGAAACCTGATGATAGATTCCCTCTTTGTGACATCCTCCACACCTGAAGGCCGGCTCCTCGGACCCTCGCTGCTTACATCTAGATGTTACATCTAGATGTTATGTTACATCTAACATA